GGGGTGTTGGCAAGTACATGAACATACATGTTCTTCCATTATTTGCCTTTACTAGTGTGAAATTATTTATTTCCTGTTTTTACATGGGTGTAGTTGAAGTTATTGGGATGGAAATGTCTTTCTAGTATTCTGGATCTTGAGGTAGATATTGGTCGAATTTGGCTTATATCATGGAATATGTTGCTTTTCCCAGATATGGTGGTTGAAAGTTTTGCTGGATAGTAGGTCAAGAACGGTGGTGGCATATTGAGTCTTGGGAAACTGAACCTACTGATTTAGAGAGCTACATGTGGTGGAGGGCAGCCTATCTGTTCTTCATGCTGGTGTGGCCTTCACCTGTTCTTCTGACTGCTCTGGCCTGTCCATGAGCAACAGATATCTGCCCAGGTTTTGTTGGTGATTTCTTAGACTTGTAACTTAATTAAAAAACACTCTGGGAATTATTCATCATGGGGTTTATAGGTTTCTCTTTCTTTTGTGTTTACTTCTTGAGCCTCACCATTGTTCTCTGTAATATTTTACGTCTCTGATTTTAATTCTTTTGCTCTTACACTTGGATGCCTGTGCACTAATAATAATAAACTCCTCTGCCATATAAAGGAGTTCACTGTTGGTAAATAGAACTTTACTGTTTAGTATAACTGGTGATAGTAGTCAGGTCAACTTGTTGTAACCCTGGATAGGTTGACTTTGGTGTCAGCTTCTGTATTTCAGCTGAGATCCTTCCTGTATTTTGAGATCAGATGCTGTTCCTAGATGTACTTCCTGCTGCTTTAAGGGGCCTCAAAACACTCTGCAATGAAGAATAGTCCCTGGCTAGGGTATATGATGGCTGCTGGGTAGCCAGTGTTGCAAGATGTCTACCAGCAAACAGTGATTGCACCAAAGCATAACTCTGTGATTCTATGGGTTTACTGTGTTACTAATAGCAATGTGGATTAGGGGTTACTAACAGAAGCAAGGGTGACTCAAACCTCACTTAAAGCACACCCTAATATGAGTGATTATCATGAAGCCAAAACCCTGGAGTTCAGTGCACAACTTGCAGGCAGCCCAACAGGTTTTAGACATTAGCACTCAGAGCTCAGCTGGTCCAGGGTCTCAATCTTTCTATAGAATTAGGAATGGCCACTGATGACTCTTGAATGTTTCACCTTTCCATCACATAGAAAGTTTGTTTACTTTCTGAATCTCCTAAACATCTCAGCCTCTTACATTGAAGAAGGGATGTATCAAATCAGAGAAAAGTGTTATACAAAGTACAGCAAAGAAGTTGAAAATTGGAGATTTAGCTCTCAGGGATGAAGGAGCAAAATTAAATATTTTCTCTGTGCACCCCTCTCCTGGATATCATGAAAAGCCTTCACTTTCTGGCTGGCCAAGCCATATTGTTCCTTTGGGACAGCGTGTGGAACTTCAATGTGACTCTCCTAGTGGCTATTACACATTCAAGTTGTGCAAAGAACTTGGTAATCCTATCCCTCCAATCCAGGAAAGACCATTCCAGAAGAAATTTATCTTTGGACCTGTGACAACAGAACATGCAGGGACATACAGATGCTATGGTTTGAATTATCATTATGCTATTAAAATTTCAGCCAACAGTGACCCTGTGAAGAT